CTAGTCTATAGTCTAGCCTATAGTCTAGTCTATAGTCTAGTCTATAGTCTAGCCTATAGTCTAGTCTATAGTCTAGTCTATAGTCTAGCCTATAGTCTAGTCTATAGTCTAGTCTATAGTCTAGTCTATAGTCTAGTCTATAGTCTAGTCTATAGTCTAGTCTATAGTCTAGTCTATAGTCTAGTCTATAGTCTAGTCTATAGTCTAGTCTATAGTCTAGTCTATAGTCTAGTCTATAGTCTAGTCTATAGTCTAGTCTATAGTCTAGTCTATAGTCTAGTCTATAGTCTAGTCTATAGTCTAGTCTATAGTCTAGTCTACAATCTAGTCTATAGTCTAGCCTATAGTCTAGTCTATAGTCTAGTCTATAGTCTAGTCTATAGTCTAGTCTATAGTCTAGTCTATAATCTAGTCTATAGTCTAGTCTATAGTCTAGTCTATAGTCTAGTCTATAGTCTAGTCTATAGTCTAGGTCTATAGTCTAGTCTATAGTCTAGTCTATAGTCTAGTCTATAGTCTAATCTATATTCTAGTCTATAGTCTAGTCATAGTCTAGTCTGTAGTCTAGTCTATCCTAGTCTATAGTCTAGTCTATAGTCTAGTCTATAGTCTAGTCTATAGTCTAGTCTATAGTCTAGTCTATAGTCTTTCTATAGTCTATAGTCTATAGTCTAGTCTATAGTCTAGTCTATAGTCTAGTCTATAGTCTAGTCTATATCTAGTCTATAGTCTAGTCTATAGTCTAGTCTATAGTCTAGTCTATAGTCTAGTCTATAGTCTAGTCTATAGTCTAGTCTATAGTCTAGTCTATAGTCTAGTCTATAGTCTAGTCTATAGTCTAGTCTATAGTCTAGTCTATAGTCTAGTCTATAGTCTAGTCTATAGTCTATCTATAGTCTAGTCTATAGTCTAGTCTATAGTCTAGTCTATAGTCTAGTCTATAGTCTAGTCTATAGTCTAGTCTATAGTCTAGTCTATAGTCTAGTCTATAGTCTAGTCTATAGTCTAGTCTATAGTCTAGTCTATAGTCTAGTCTATAGTCTAGTCTATAGCCTAGTCTATAGTCTAGTCTATAGTCTAGTCTATAGTCTAGTCTATAGTCTAGTCTATAGTCTAGTCTATAGTCTAGTCTATAGTCTAGTCTATAGTCTAGTCTATAGTCTAGTCTATAGTCTAGTCTATAGTCTAGTCTATAGTCTAGTCTATAGTCTAGTCTATAGTCTAGTCTATAGTCTAGTCTATAGTCTAGTCTATAGTCTAGTCTATAGTCTAGTCTATAGTCTAGTCTATAGTCTAGTCTGTAGTCTAGTCTATAGTCTAGTCAATAGTCTAGTCAATTGTCTAGTCTATCGTCTAGTCTATAGTCTAGTCAATAGTCTAGTCTATAGTCTAGTCTATAGTCAAGTCTATAGTCTAGTCTAGTCAATAGTCTAGTCTAGTTTAGTCTAGTCTATAGTCCTGTCTATAGTCTAGTCTATAGATTCAAAGACTTATTTCTATGTTCGCTGTTTTAAAAGATATTGGGATGTAAAATGTACCAAAAGTTTTTACCTGTTGTACCCTTTAAAAGGACCGAATTTCAAAGAAGTATCAGGCACCTATATGCTAATTTTTAAAAGTCAAACATTTTGTAATAATCTTTTTAGTTTTGGAGTTATAAGATTAACGAATTTAGCCGTTTTTTCCTTTTCAACTCATAAATATTCCAATTTACAAAAATCCCGTCTTTGTGGATCTTTTTGTTGGGAGAACAATTTTCTGAACAAATTTAAACTTTCTAACTTTGTAAAGCCGAAAAATTTAGACTTTTTCTACTAGACACTTCGAGTTTTTCGTCAAAAAGTCGATTGTACAAAAGAACGATTTTTTTTTGTTCGCTTTACTTAAGTCTAACAATTCTGGCAACACTTTTTTAACTAGTTGAACAAATAAAGTGTGGCATCCTTGTATTTCATAAGTTTGCAAAAATAAAAGCGGTTGCAGTTGCGGTGTACCAAAGTAAATTAATAAAGTAGCATCACTTGAACAGCTGACTATTTTTTTTTAAACTAGATAAATGAAGCAAATTGTCAAAGTTTGTTTTGAAAATTGTTAACATTGTTTACGTCGCCATTTTTAAATTGTGTTTTGCTATTTGTTAAAATTTGTGAAAAGTTTAAAAAGTGAATTAAAAGTGGTTTTAAAGTAGTTTAAAAGTGTAATAAATTGTATAATATATAATAATATAATTAAATCGTTAATATCTTTAGCTTAAAAGTAATATTTTTTATTTATGTTTTGTTCACATTGTTTTTCAAGGAAATTTTATTTTGACACAATCTTAAATTTTCCAAAAACAAAATACATGTGGTTGTTGTAGATGTTGTTGTACAACAAGAGATGTCGCTACTTTATTAATATACTTTGCGGTGTACTTTATAGTTTGAGTTTTTTTTATAAACTACAGTTTTAAACAATTAAAAAGGTGAAGTTTACAAATATATTTTTATATAAATAAATA